GATTTAGTGGGGGTGGGGGGTGTGTTGGTATTTGAGATTTAAGTGCTGACACATGGAATTTTATTTAAAAATTAGCTTGTTTTGGAGTACCATGCATCCCTCTTCCTCTTTTTTTTCTCACTTTTATTTTTTGGATCTGCCTCTGTTACATAATACCTATTTTTGTTTCTCTTCAACAGCTTCTGTGTTTTGGACACCAAATTCGCTGTGATGGTTGAATATACTCCCGAGATTGATGTGAGCAACTCAGTAATGGAGATGTGCCTGGTCCTTTTCACCAGTACCTCCCTTACCATTGCCATTGTTTCGTACATCTATTTCAGAAAGGCGCATATCGCTACATTAAACCTCAAACATGTGCTGCCAAACAAAGGTATTGAGGCATGATCACTTAACTGCGTTTGTGATTTTATTTTGATAACAAAATTCAAACGAAATTGTTGTATACATGAGTATTTATTTTTATTTCAGATGAAAGTACAATTAACATTACACAGAAGACTACGTATGACAACCCATTGATAGAAGTGTCGCATGCATAACTGATTATTACCTGTAAAGTATCAGAGTTTACCATCCTTTGTATATAATAGTACCACGTTATATACAGATTAGTGTTATGTTGTGTTTATTTGAATGACAATAAGCAATGCGGGAATTCTCGTAGGCTTCGGCCTCATCATCAATTTTTAAACTACAAATTTGTCATCTGCCCATATTTAGGTATGTTGATGTCATAATATACCCATGTATGGTCAGAATGGCATATACAGTATGGGCAAATCACAGTTATTTGTCAAATAGTACTTGGCAGTGTGACCGGAACTTCACTGACAGATTAGTTAAAATAAACAACAGCGTATTACTGTAAATGATCTAATATGTGCTGTGGTGCTTATAACATTTTTGGATGCCTTAGTGCAGTGCTTATTTAAGAGAGACACTTATATAAATTATTTGATTGTTAAATTGGTATCATGTGTGTTGGTACCCAAGTTGTTGCAATGTTAGTATTAATTTTGTGAGAAATCTTTCATTCTCAAAACATCAGGGAACGACGCAATATGTGCTATCAATTAAGCACTGCAGGCGACTGGAAACAGAAATTCACATTTGTTGTGACGATTATTCGAGAGGCGCTTATTACATCATTTACGATATGTAATTATAGTTTAAAATCATTTGTTAGGATAGACTGCCAAAATAATCAGGAGAAATCTAAAAAATTCTATCAAAATTATTAGTTCATTTAAAAGGATCGAAACAGACTGTAAAAAAAAAAAGTTTTCACAGATTTACACATTTCTCTAAAAAACTTTTAAATTAATTTAACAGCCAATTTAAGGGTCTACGTAAAAGAATTCAGAAACAGCATTATGTACATGTCCAGCAACTGACCCGGAAATTTCTTTCTCATTCAGATTTTCAATTTAAGCAATTTATACAAATTAGCAATTTATATATGGAATTGGATTTTTCATTTAGCTCATGAGACAGTATATAACATATTTTATAGAGGGCAACCCTTACTGCATATCCAAGAATGTCAGCTGATATTCAGACCTCTTAAATAATGTGACGCTTTATAATTTCATTACAAGACTTACGGAGTGGAAACGTTTCTTACTCGTAAATAGATTACCATTTTACATCACAGTAATCAACACATTACTAAAACATGATTACTGTTTTAGTTACTCTTAACAGCCTAATATGTTAAAAAGTTTTGTGCAGTTATATTAATCTAGATTATTGAAAACGCATTTATAAAACGTTTTACTTTCCTACAAGATGCAGTTTGCCAAGAATCGATGTACAGTATCAAGGAAATCTTTAAAACTTATTGTACTGTTAATTGTAGTTTCATGTTTGTTTTTTTTTAAATAAAGCAAGATGTTTCAAACTTCAGTTTTTGCCTTTGGTCATTACATTTCTGTGGAAGTAAAGAAAAAATATATAATTCAATATAACTGCTCAACATTCATATATATAGAACCTGGCATTGTGTGCTATATATATACGACCAATGTTATTATCATTATCATCATCATTAATATCATTGTTATAACATCTACACAATTTAATGAATTTATTTCATTTAAAATAATAAATTGCAAGTGAATTCATATTATATTAATTGAAAATATCTAATGCACACTATAAACTATTAACTATAAAATAGGAAAGCAATAAATTTTTTCTTGGAATGACATGTTGAAATGAAATGTTTAATCAGGGTGGATACAGGATTTTCCATTGGGGAGGGGGAGGGAAGCTACCAAAATTTCCAGATGGTTTGAATCAACACCTACCCCAGCCCCACCATGGGAGTATGGTTCCCCTCGTAATGTGGGTGTGGTAGGCTATTATTCCAGTTATAAAAATAATATGTTGATCAAATTTTAGCAGGGGAGGTGGGGGCTAAAGCCTACATTTGGCCCCCTCTAAATCCGCCCCTGTTAATATAAAAAAACACTTACGCTGCATTAAGGACGTTGCTACCACTACCACTCAACATGATATAAGGAGACTGCATCACTCGCTGTTTTTCTTGTAACATAGCAACCGTTCCAAGAGGAGTATCAACAGAGGACATTTTTAAAAGAGCCTGTAGAAAACATCAAAAAGTTAATACTTTTACAGTATTTGTTTTCATTCATTCTATATTTAAATGGATCTAAATTATGGAATGTTTCTTGTTGTAATTATTACACAAACATTATGAAGTGCTAAACAGACTTGTTAAAGAGTAATTTCTATCATTATAGAGAACCTTGAATTGTGCACTCCATAACTCTGATTTTGTCCAAAGTATATATATTGACCGATTGTATTTTTTGCATTTCTGTACTCCTTAGAAATTTCATTAAAATGTATTTTGATTGTTGGAAGCTGATAAATGTTGTTCGAGTGATTGATGAATGACTGGATGATTGATTAACTGATATCCATCGTAAAATATAAGAAATATCATTTACACATGCCACAATGCAGTTGTGTATTCAAAACAGCAAGATCAATAAACTCAAAACACCGACATAAAGGAAATAAATTAATGACTGTTGCATATATTCATTGTGTTTGATTATTAATTTCAAACTCACCTGTTCTCCAGCTATCTTTTTCTGTCTTCTTTCTGTCTTCGACTTTCCTGAACGTTTACCATGGAAACGATGGGACAAGACTCGGAATGCCTATAGAATGAACAAGAGATTTTCTTTCATGGATACTGAACGCTTGGAATGGACACCAACTACTTCAACAGATCCACTTTTAATTTCTTGTTTTACTTTGTTAATTATAGCGCTTCTTTCTATGAAAATAACTGGTCGCCATGTATAGGCATGATGACATCATATAAAATTCTTCTATGGGCAAATTACAAGTATTTGCTGCATAGTGTGAATGGAGCTTTGAATTATTACCTCTTTTTGGTTGAGTTCTCTGCCTGAATCATCTTTATAAGAGATATTAAATGAGGGTTTGTAACCAGATTTTTCCCTAAAGTCTGCAACCGGTCCACGAAAACGATCATGCTTGCTGTATTTAGCATCAATGTCACTGTAAGGAAATTTTATGAACAGTTTAATTTTAATGATAGTCTTTTTGCAATAGTTATTTAGTAATTTAGTAGTCCATATGTTGAATATAATTTAATAATTATAATACTAATTAAGAAATTAAGAAATGACACAATGATATCATTTATAAAATTATTACTAGAAATCTGCAAATTAAGTTTGTAACTGACTGTTAGATCAGAAATGATTTCAAGATCATTTGGTAATGACTGTGTTGCTGTGCTGATGTCAGCAAGTCCAGGGAGCACAGGAACTCTGTCTGAAAAAGGAGCTAAGTATGTCGTCAGGAAACACTGGTTTAAAAAAGGATTTTTACACTCTGAGAGTGCCATTTCCAGGTACCTAGAGGTGCTTATTCTCAAAATTTACTTCAAACGCAGTGGGGCTGAGGTAAATCTTGAACAAGATGAAGGCAGCAGCCTAACGGAATCTGAAGAATCTGAACCTATGGGAATTTGGACTTCTCATCGAGGACCTTGGACACCTTGTAGGGAAACTTTCGCTCCTCAGAAAATTTCCAGCCCCGCCACTGCAGTTTCAGACATCCTAAGGCATTTTTTAAGGAATGATAAATTTACTTACTGAAAACTTTTGTCCTCAACGTGGAAATTCTGTGCTTCAATGGATTTATCTTTAGCAGCTTTGAATTTCTTATTGGATTCTTTCTCGAGGAACCCTTTGTTAACGGCCATCTTGAGGGCGCCCGCCACTCCTGATTGTAGCGATGGCTCTTCTTCAAGTACAGGGCCTAATGGCTCCTAAGAAAGACAACAAGTTTCCATATTAAACTGAAATACAAGAACTGCTACAAGGACTGAGGGTTTTTCATGGGATGAGACTTTTTTTTTTGCTCACTAAATTTCAAATGGGTGCATAAGGGTACAATTTTTTGCTGGGGGTGTGGCCTCCACATTCCCCACCCTCCTTAGCCCCAAAGATATGCCTCTGTATACATGAATTGAAAAACTGTAGCCTTACAGATAAACTAAAAAATATACATTATTCTTACAGCTTCTTCTTCTTCCTCCTCATCCTCTTCCTCGAGGTTCACCCTACTCCATGCACTAATTCCTTCTTCGTCTCCCATCTGTTCAGGTTCTTCCTTCTCAAAGTCCATAACTTCATCTTCATTGTCCTCTTCTTTAGGAACAGCTGAACCTACATAAAAATGAATATCACAAATCCAAAACATAATTGTTGACCCACTCTACTAAAAAAATTTTAGATTATTGGATCTTGGTAATCTAGATCAAAAGCTAAATAATGATGCAAAAATTGTTAAATGCGGATAACAAATGGCAAAGATATAATTTATATTTTCTGTCCAACATGTATTAAGATGGTCAATACATGGGGATTTTAGTGAAGACTTTCATTTTTGAAAACAAGTGCTTGGTTTTACCAAAATCGGTGACAATTTTAGTTCTCCAAATTAACAAACAAATGAACAAATGAATCTTAATACTCATTTGCATTATTTTGGTTGAAAGTCTGACCTAAAGTGTTTATTGAAATGGGATATTGATCCGTACACTATCGTATATAGTGCTTTCTTTTTGTTACCCGAAGAAAAAAGTTACTCTCTGAACTTTAACACCCTTTTTCCTACTATCTACACCAATGACTTAATATATAGCAATGCTTTATCTGATTTGTTTATTTTTGGTTCTCCATATCTTACAAAAGATGAAAATCTTTTTTCGTTTCAGACATATATACTACATGTTTTTTTTTAAATTCTGTTATCGTTTCCAATGTTAGAAATTATTTTTGCAGAGTTTTTCCTAAGTGACACCACACTCTCAATATTTTTTTAATTGTTATCAGCGGTACCTCATTACTTTGGCTATGCAGGAGACCTAAGTTGGAAGAAGCCATTTCTGGGTGATCTGTTTAAATGAACTTAAATTGAACACATTCAATTTTTATTTTGCTTCTTTTTTGCTTCAATTGATAATACAGTAGTAAAAAACAAGCAATTATTGTGAATTTACGGGAGTTGGCTTGTTGTGCAGGAGATTCTTCTTCCTTGCATGAATGTGATAGACATCACCAGTTTCCAGGGGGTTCATGCGACTTACGTGGGACTTGGGACCCCTGGGCTTTGCCTGGTGAAGGGTTTCTCTTGAGTAAAATGTTGAATAAAAGCAGAATGTAAACCTACTGTACGATGGTATTTCGCCGAGGGTTCTACAGAATTCTGAGGTTGCATTCAGAACTATTGAAGGATTGGTGGTTGAGTCAGTGTCCATTTCTTCACCTTTTGCATACTTCACTGCTTCTGCCACTAACTATACATGAAAAGGATACAATAAGAGAAATGGTGATAAAGAAGCTGCAAGTACCTATATTGGCATGTTCATTAACAAGAAGATAAAACTACCATTTTTTGGTATTTACATACCATGTTTATTGCTGAGAAGGGTTTTTGAGTCGGTATTTATTCAATGGGGGAATATATTTGAGAAAGGCATTTGTTTTTGGTGTAAAATGGATATGTATACACTCAAATAAATGCCCCTTAATTTCAGTGTAAATGTGGTACTACAACAACATAATTTACCTTATCTCCATCTACATCTTTCTTTTCTTTCTTGTATTTCATCCTCCTTGCCTTATTAAGAGCAAGCTGTAGCTCTAAGGCAGCGTCATCTTCAATTACAACATTTTCTTCTACCTCTGCATTGTGCATTGGACCCCTTATCATGCCTAGAAAAATCAAAATCAAAATAAAACATAGGTGGCACGTACAGTTCCTGTATACGGTAACCGATTAATCATGACTTCAACTAGTTCTAGGTTTCACCCTATCTGCTAAAAATGGGGAAATACTTACCAAGGACTCCACCTTGGGATACACAAGGGTCCCTGGTAAATCGGTTCCTACTTAGACCCCTTGGAATACAGGTTATGGCTAAAAAGATTTCATCCATGATACGCTACTTATAAGGTGACACTTATTTTATACTTATATTTTTTAAAGGTTGTCAGAGGAAGGTGGGAAAAAGAATAAAAATATAATTTTGTTGTCTTATTTAGCAAATAGTTTTGCCAAAAACTAATAAAATAATAATAACATTTTATTGTTGAATGTAAACAGTGTAGTAATGGGATGGTTAAATGCTTTAAATTTATATAATTAGGAAGAAATATGAATATTTTATTTTTGGAGATTTCCAGGCAGTGGCGGGCATAATAAAAATATAGAGAAACTTTTATTTTTTTCTGAAATTTACATTTTTTCGTGGTGTCGGGTGCACTAATTGGCCAAAAATAAAATTTTACTTTTAGTCAAAATCATTAACATTGTTGGGCGGAGGGTTCGCTAAACATACAGGTAGTATAAAAAGAGGTAAAGGTAGTCCCGTGTTCATTACTGAACGTAGGGGAATGAGCTGTGAGCCCATTGTACTAAGCCTCGGCATTGTGTGGTAGGGTGGCTAGTTCCTTTCCATGCCGCCTTTTTTCCTACCCAGTAGTAAACCACTCCTGGGTAGAGAGACACAAGCGACTTGCACAGTGAGAGTTCCGAACCCCTGACCTCAAGGTTGGGAGTCCAAGCCACAACCGATGCGCCAACCGCTTCCACTATAACCGCTTCTGCTTCCAGTATAAATAAAGTCTCGCCTAATTCCTTGAAAGCTCAGCAAATTTCTCCTTGAATATGCAGCTACCCAAAACCAGAAAAAAATGCACTTTATAATGTTATAAAATTGATCTAACCTCCATCAATATCAGGTAGGTCCAAGTCCATTGTGTCCCCAATTCCAAAGGTATTACCATCATCAAGATTTCTTCTACGTATACCACCATTACTGCGCGTGTGAAATAAGATCAGTTAATGTTAGCAACAGAAATCATTATTCTTAACTTAGTGAAAGAAAATGACTTGTCTTAACAAAGAGTATAGAACACTTGTGGTTTCGATGGAACATTATCCTATTTCAAAAAGTACTGCTGCATAGGAGGGTGTCATTTAAAGATGAGTTTCGAGCGAACTCTAGTCGAATTCTAATAGGGCGCCCCCTATCTCGCGGCAGTACGTTCCTCTTGCAATTCTATTCTCTTTGGTTAAGTTTTGTCCACATTATCAACTTTCATGTGACGTAATACCCATATATGGGATGAGTTACATATGTGGCAAAGACAAGCCAAACCAATCACTCGTCGCAAATCACGTTTCATAGACAATGGCCAAAACATGCAGGAATGTCAACATTTTTTAAATCTATTTTATTGCACTATACATCATGCTATGTTATTATTTTCTCCATTTTCAATATTTAAACAACAATTTTTAACGATTTGGTAATGCTTTCTGCCTGATAAATGCCCGAAATCGTGAACTTTAAAGGCTGATTTCTCAAATATTGTTTTTTAACTGCTGTATGCTTTAACTCCTATATTCATAAGAAAATGTTGGATTTAAATTACCATCTTATAGCTCTCATTTTACTGTTTAACCCTGTATTAATAACTAAAAATTAATTTTTACTAGGAGTGACTGGTTTAGCTTGTCTTTCTCACATATATATATTTCTCAAATATTGTTCTTTAAACAGTTGAATGTCTTTAACTCCTGTATTTTCACAAAATGTCGGATTTAAATGATTCAGATTTTCCACTAAGCCATGCCCTTAACTACTGTTGCTAGGGTCAGGCAAACCAACAGTGTAAAAGTATTTTACACATATGCATTTGTGGTGTAAGCACATATTCCTAGCACTGATTTCATTGGTTAGTTGTTTGACACTCCTGAAATGTCACGCTCAATCATTATTTCACTTCATCCAATTATTTATTTTTTGTCAAACAGTAAATCAACAATTACAGAATGAAAAAGATACTAATTTAAATAAGTTATTATTTAGGTGCATTGTAAGGTAATTTCTTTTAATCAAGAGGAAGCTTTGGGTATTATAGGAGGAATTTTCCCTATGATCTACAGATCTGAAATTTGCCTCACGTGTTCTAGAGATCTGATATTTTCCCCCCATGAACTATACACCTGAAAGTCAGCATTTTAAACCATCAAACAAAATCTGCTTTCCAATATTTATCAATTTTTACAATGCATTTAGTTGAAAAAGTATTTTACCGGGATCCATGATCAGTAATGCTGTCTTCTGGAGTTAAGTCATTCACTGAAAACTTCTTTACTTTCCTTCGCCGCTTCTTAGGTTTTTTAAACTTCTCCATTTCTGCACTTGTATAATAATCACTTGCTACTGTAGGTACCTGCATGTCCAGGCTTTGCTGTAAATTAATAAAACGCATAAATTTATTAATAACCAATTGCTATCATAGCTATTGTATTTTGGGACTTTTTAATAATATAATTTGCATAATCAGTTGCCATTGTCTGCATATGCATATTAAGAATTTGTTGTTAATAAGTGTAAATATAATTTTTTTTGAATATCAATTTGCATAAAAAGCAAAAAAAAATATTTTAGGCACTTATATATTCTGATTTTCTGTAATTTTATTTACAACATTATTAGATGAAATTGTAGAAACCTGTACATTATTAATAAATTTGCATAATAAATCAGTTGTTATTTTATGCACCTGTATAAAAAGACTTGATTTTAAATAATTTACACAATAATCCATTACTATTTTAGGTACCTGTACTGTATATTCAGATTTGCCATAAATTAATGCTGTACACAGTGTTTTGAGACTCCAGTATAAAGCGCTATATAAATCGGCGTACATTACATTGTTTGTTTGTTAGTTTGTTTAATTTATTTCTCCACACACATTACATAATTAATTGTTGGAATATTGAGAAGTTGCTATTAATAAATTACAGTACTGTAATTGAACACACATGAAAATTGCTGAACATTTTCATTTTTCAAAATTTCTTAAATAAAAATTATTTTATATTCAGCTTTCTGATCAATGTGGGAGTGGTTGGCACAGTGGTTGCGTTTCGGTCTCTCTATCACGAGGTGGGTGGTTCGAACCTTTGCTGTGTATTTGGCTTGTGTTCTTGAATAAGCCACTTTACCTACGTCTGTCCCTCTCCATCCAGGTGTATAAATGGGTACCCATTTGGTTCACTACTGGGGAGGAAAAAGGCAACATGGAAAGGAAACTGGCCACCCTATCACAAAATACCGAAGCTTAATGCAATGGGCTAACAGCTCATTCCCCTACGTTCAAACTACCTTCACCTTTTTTGACGAAAGAAAAACACATAATTTTAGCATAATGAATAACAGCATATACATGGTAGCAAATGATAGAGATATTTAATTTTAACATTTCTAAGCAATTATTTCAGTAAGTTATTCTGACCTTTTGCAGCTCCTGACGAATATGTGCTTGTTGAGATATCTTACTCACGGCTGGACTACTCCCAGATTCACCCAACTTGAATGATTCTACTTTCTTTCCTTCAATTTCTTCATCGTATTTGTGTAATAATGACTTCTTCTTTACCTGATGACAGATATACAAGTGATTAAAGCAGATACAATGTTAAATGACTAGAATGTTGAAGAGACAGTGTATATAGTGACACTGGAACCACTGAATCTACTTCATTTAAAATTTGTGGCAAAGACAAGCCAAACCAGTCACTCGTCGCAAATCGTGTTTCAGAGAAAATGGCCCAAACATGTTGGAATGTGAAATTTTTAAAAATCGATTTTATTGCACTAAACTACCCTTTATATATCTACACATCATTCTATGCTGTTATTTTCCACATTTTCAATGTTAAAACAATACTTTTTAAGGATTTAAAGATGGTTTCTGCATGAGAAATGCCTAAAATCATAAACTTTGACGGTTAATTTCTCATATATTGTTCTTTAAACAGCTGTGTGGTTAAACGCTTGTAACGTCATAAGGAAATGTCCGATTTGAATGATTTTTTTACCATTTATAGCTTATTTTACTCTCTAACACTGTATTAATAACTCAAAATCAATTTTTGCGACGAGTGACTGGTTTGGCTTGTCTTTGCCACATTTACTATTCCATTGACAACTCGGCAGACAACATTATGTTGTCAAGCACTCACAAAATTCAGAGATGGATTCAATGGTTGACAGTCTACCACCATGGTACAACACAGTGAGTGCACAGCTTCATTTGTATTGACCTATGTGTGTATGACAGCATACAGTACTGAACAACATCAAAGAAACTCAAATTCATTGATTGGGATGAGAGATTGACCCAATCTAAGTATGTATATTTATTATACTGTTGTCATATAGTTAACCCTTCAACTCAAAGCCACTCTAATTCTAGACCCTTCTAATTCAAGACAACTTTATCAAAGCACCAACTTATTACAATCATGGATCATTTAACACAAAGCTGTTCCTCTATTTCAAGATCACCTTACATTTTCAGATCCCAAAGAAGGCCTCGAATTGGAGAGTTTAAAGGGACTAATGTTACACTTACAACACCAAATTCATCCACTTCTTCTTGTTCGTATGGGATATAGCCAGGTCTGCCTTTTCTCAGTTCAGTATTCCTAGCTGCTAATATATCATCAACCATGTTAACGTTCACCAAAGCATCGTCCTCCTCATCCAAAATACCTACAGCAGCGTAAAAAAAATCATAAAAAATACAAAATAATAAGTGTTTGGTAATAAATACATTGTATCTGATTAGAAATCCTGTTTTTATACTGTAATCCAGATATATTAAACGACTTATTTAATTTCAATGAATCATATATCAAACCAAATAAATTAAATTTTCACTGATTTACAGAGCTTTTGCTACAATTAAAGGGTGTATGCAAAAGATTATAAACTATAATATCATTTATACATATGCTAATCTGTGAGAAAAATATTTCATCATTCCAATTTTCAATTAAAAATCTAATACTTTATCCTACTTAACAAATTATGCAATTCAAATATTTATTTATTTTTTTTTTTTTAAGTTCAAAGCATAACATAATTACTTATATTTTTATTTTTAACATACCGGTCTTTTAAAGCTAATAGCAATGACTAACATACCTGAGTCTTTTAGTGTTAATATCACTGATTTTCCTTCTTTAAAAGACTTCAACGAGTGTTGAACTTGAAGTCCAGCTATATCACGAGAACCATAAGCCTAAAAAAAAACACAAAAATATATAGATATGCTGGATAATAACAATCAAAAGGATCAGAATACAGTCAACAACATTTTTCAATCGTATTATGATTTCTGCCATTTTTTTTTAGTTTCTTATGATATATATATGATATATATGATATTTGTAAATTTATATGTATGTATGTATTATTATAAAATGAATAAAAAAAAATAACATTTAAGAATGTATATTAAATTAAATATCATTATTCTAATATAGTACCATACTGTTATTCTATTATTGTTACTGTAGTATTATTATTATTAGTGCTGTCTTTCTAGCTACATCTTAGACATAAAATCAAATTACGAATTGTCCACCATTGCACTCATCAACTAATTTTATACCATTAACTTCAAGCATTATCATCAACGCCCAAAAAATCATTAATTATATTTGTGGTTTCAAAAATAAGAAGCAGTTTTTAAATACTGTGTTGATAACAATACCAAATTTTAGGCTACAGTAAAACTCGCCTAAGTTGACTTTGCCTAAACTCAAATAATTTGTAAGTCGATCTTATTTTACATGCCAAATTGTTGAGTTTTCCATCAACAATCTGCAAGTTAAAATTTATTTAAGTCGAACATTTTTTCAATACCATTTTGGATTCAACTTAGGCAAGTTCAACATACATAAACAAACACAAACGTTGTTGACATACCTTTTCTTTACCACTTTTTTTGAATTCCTCATCCACCAATGCTTCAATACCAAAATCAGCATCCATTTCTTGCAAAAGTTTTTCCTAGTAACATTAATGTATTGAGAAAATATAACATTTAAACGAATGCTAAATCTGGTGCTTTGTACACACTATGAATCACTATGTGACCCATATATGGGCATGGCATACTGGCAATGTCATATCACACCCATATATGGGTAAAACATAGACAGTATTTGTCACATAAAACGTGAGCGTGTGTACAGACCTTTAATGTTAAGAAATGTATTGCCTAATTGTAAACTAACCACCCACACTAGAGGACATAGGTTTATCATTCCATCATCAACTTTACAGTGTACCAACATACATTATTTTCCAGCACTATCAGAATTTGGAACATATTGCCAGCATCTTTGGGTACAGCCCCCACTCCTGAAGCCTTCAGAAGTGGTCTGGCCAAAATTGCTATTTAAGTAGCATCAAATTTTAGCAGGACTGTAGAACATATTTTAACATTTTTATCGTCTTTTTGGATTTTGTGTTTCCTGCACCACGCATGCTCTCAGGCTGCGAAAATACTTCTAATGGATGGATGCATCTTACAAGAGAAGAAAGTCAGGTTAATGCCACTTAATATTAATAATGACTATAGACTCCAACTAAAAGTATATGTAGTGTACATAAGCTTTTTGAAGAAAGTCTTTTACAAATTAAAAATTCTGTGGAAAAGCCTGTCCATAGAATAGTTAATCTTTAGTTGATTGCAATTTACTTACTCTTTTCTCTGCTAATGCCTTTTCTTTTTGTACCTTCCGGCTTCGTTCTACCCATGCATGGATATCATCTACATCATCTTCTTCTCCAAGAGTTTTGACTTTGCTGTCAAAGAAATCCAAAAGTAAATGTTAAAATTTAATGCATCATACCATTTTTATTATCACAATTTAACACTATTTCATCATTTTATAACACCAAAACTTCATTTCGTTACTTGTAATAATGACAATAAAGTAATGTATACTATCATTCACATATAAACACAAATGTGAGGCCTGTAACTGAAGAGTGGGGAAAGGGGGGAGATGACTTATACTATTAATATCTTAATATTGTTTGAAGGTTGGCATGGCAACTAATAATATATTAAAGGCAGGCTCTGGAGAAAAAACAACTTTGCATATGTTGTACAACTGATTTTTCTAAGACACAAAAATGATGTTAGATGAAAAACTTGGGATAGTGAGATACAGATTTTCGAATATTTAAAAATTGGAGGGAAAAAGGCTGGTTAAGGCACCCCCTTTTTCCCCCAGTTTTCAAATATTCAAAAATCAGTTGTACACCTATCAAAAAAAAAAAAATTTCTTTCAGAGCCTGGCTTCAAATGCTTGCGGTAGGCCTACATCATGTAGATATTTCTGAGAAAAAGAACTGCTTTTTGTTTGTTTTTTATTGAGTTGCTTCAATCGTCATCAGGAGAACAATAGCTGAGCAAAAACACATCAAGCACCAGATACATGGTATACCGCAAGCATTTAATATACAGTATAAATATCTTCCCCGTAATCTGAAATCATTAGGTTAATTTACCTGAGCTTTTTGTTGATCTCCCGTTTAGCTTTTATTTGTTGCAGCTTCTCTTGAATGGCTTTTCGTTTGTTTTCTTGAGCAAGATTCCTGGCTGGCTTGTGCACGTCTGTGGAGCCTGACTCTGGCATGGGTTGCACACCATCTGTACCTTGTTTTGGAGCATTGCTGGGTTCAAGTGGTGCTAGTCCAAGCTTCAACCTTATTTTACTGTGTTGGTAGAAATGTTTGATTTTCTTATTTTTCTACCACAATAACAAGCACAACTTATATGGTAAACAATTTATAAGAGATTATTTTACATTATCCAAACAAAAATCATATCAAAAACTTGAAAACCAAACTACATCTCTCCTTCTACCCCATAATCATGCTACACTGAATTAGACTAGTCCACACATCAAGCACCATGGGCATCTTGTGTGATGGATACCAGCACTAAACTATACAAGTATTTACTGGGTTGAGGGGCATGGTTCAAATTACAACCTGAAGTAATCAGGAGGCTGTACTATGTCTCAACACGGCATGTTCCCCATACTATATCCACGCCTGTAAATACCGTACTCGCGCGAATATTTTAAGCGCCCGGGCGCTTAATCAAAACAGGGCGCTTATGAAAACTGAGTGGACATTGAGGGGGCGCTTATGGAAATATATGAAAATTGAGAGTTTCTTCTGTGAACTTTGAAAATTCAATGGGCGATTTTGAATGAAAAAAATTATAGAAGAACATCCGAAAACCGAAGATTACGAATGGTTTTAGTGCAGAAAAGATAATCGTCCAGAGAGCATGGCTTGTGACAAGAATTATGTGAGTTTCAACAGCAGATGAAATTAGTGGTGTTGGTGTATAGGCCATACACTTGTTGGTCATCTGCCGATTGAGATTAGCAGGATCATGCAGGACTTCTTGCAAACTCACATGAAAACATGCTAAAGGTGCAAATTGTCGGGAAAAGGAAAGGAGTAGACGAATGTAAGAAGAGAAAAGTTGGAAAGATACTGTCCAGGGAGCTCGCATCTGTCAGGATAAAATATCCTCATTTTGAAATTGACATAAGAAGAAAATGTGAATCCACACCGCAGCTCAAATCATGCCAACCACAGTCTCAGGATTAGTTTATAGATTATCGTTTGCTAAAATAAATCAATCACAACATATTGTTATAAAAAATGAATTAACACCGAGGGGCGCTTATTATGGGCGCTTATTACAATTTTCACGTTAGGAGGAATGCTTATCCGAGGAGCGCTTATTCATGTATGGTTATGTAATAATGTGTGACATTTCAATATAGATCAAGTATATAGCCAATTTTAGTAATTATTAAAATTTATACCACTGACTTTGTTTCTTCAATGCTCATAGACTCTGTTATCCCACCACCTCCAGATGAAGCAATTTCTCCTCTTTTTTCAACACTTTCCTCAAAAGCTGATGAACAAACAAAAAAAGACTGTGTTAAAGCTTCCTTTTTAAATTGATACTGTAGCGTATCATACTGAATGACAATAAATATTTCTTTCATTTTTGTTGATCTGTAAACTAGGCCTACTATTAGGCCTAGCCTATGCATCACAGCAGATTGTGTTTACAATATAAAATGAACTACCTTTACAGTATTTTTTTTTCTTTCCAAAGTTTTGACCAGCAAACCTATAAGTCTCACACATTTGGTGATGCTATATAGCAAAGTACTAATTGAAATATTTAAATATTGTGATCATATTTAAAGGGGAACAAGTCAATTCGCATGGATGCTGCTTCGAGCAAATGCCAGTTCAAGCGGAATTTACTTCAAGCGCAAAAAGATGCACACAGCCTGTGCGAGTTATGTACGAATTACTTAAAAATTTCCATACACAGGCCTCTCTATGCCTGATTACGGATAGCAGGCCTCTAGGCCTACATTAGGCCTAGCTAGTTAGGGCCTGGCCTAGTACTACCAGGCTAACTAGGCCTAGCAGTAGGCCCTAGGCCCAGCCTACTACTACTAGGCCTAGGCTAGGCCTAGGTTTCCCGTTGTGGCCTAGGCCCTAGGCCTACATAGGGTAGGTTTTTATTGCGGTTTTATCTAGGCTAGGTCTATAACCCCTAAGGTTATTCATGGATCATTTGTCACAATTTAGTGTAACAGTGTACCCTAGGCCTATGCCATTAAATTACCTCGGTAGTAACCTTGGCCATCTGTGCCTCTCTCTCTCTTTATTACAGGCTCAACGAATTCTTCACCGCCGCTAGCATCTCGTTTAGGCCTAGAAGTAGGCGATCGAGGGGAACGATCACGCTTGTGCTTATGCCGACGTTTCCTGTCTTTATCTTTGTCCCTATCACGGTCTTTATGCTTGTGTTTATGCTTCCTTTCCTCTCTGTCTTTTTCTTTACGAGAAGAACCCATATTAAAACACACCAATGTAACTCAAATACTAAATAAATTAAACTTAAACCAGATAAGATTCAGCTTGTTTCATTCAACCTCCTACCACACATCGTTGATCGACAATCCGACGATCGACGACCCTTCGCCAAAGCGTAGTTTTATCAACTGAGGGCGTACTGCAACAATTCTCCAGCTGTGTTCCAGCACAAAAACATTTTAAAGTCAGGCTCCGGAGGAAAAAAAAAATTTGATATGTTGTAGAACTGATTTTTCTAAGACAGAAAAAAGTAGTTTGATCAAAAACTGAGCAACGGTGAATGAGATACAGATTTTTGAATATTTAAAAACTGGGGGAAAAAGGTGTAGAAATGGGCGGTTACGCCCCTTTTCCCCCCAGTTTTTAAATATTAAAAAATCTGTATCTCATTCACCGTTCCCCAGTTTTTCGTCAAACAACTTTTTTCTGTCTTAGAAAAATCAGTTCTACAACATATAAACAAAATTTTTCCCTCCGGAGTCTGACTTTAATTTAATTTTTTGGCTAAAACGGAGACCTGATATTACAGTATAAAATTAAATATTTTTTAACTAATTGCATTGTCTATAATATCAATTTGTTTTAAGCCCCTCTATCCATTTTCATCAGTGACACACTTCTCAGTGGAACATAATAACTAGACCTAAATAATTTACTATCACAAGAAAGTGTTTAAAAAAATGATAACTGTAAGACTTGCGTTAGTAGATCAATATTATAATACAAAAAACTTAATAATTAACAAGTAATGAATAAATAATATTTAACTGTAATTAATGAAAATATATCTAAGTGAATTTTAAGAAAATATGTTAGATATTGCCAATTATTATTTTGCGGATGCGTAATAAATAAAATAATGGTAGGATTGGTACCACAGAGGGCGGAGAAAGGAGACTAGTCCGCAAAAAATTATAAGTAAATAAAATACAACACAACAATGTATTCATTAACTTCCAGATCCCCTCACAGAAAAACTTAAAATGCCCCATTTTGTGCCAGTTTTCTGGGTGCCAGCGATCCCGCCCCCTGAAACCAGATCAGCGTCCGGTGTCTCCGTCCCCACCTAACCTGTTTGTTGATCTGCTGTATTTCGTCGCTCACATCACGAACTAACACAATTAAATTCAATTATGTTAGTTCGTGAAATCAAAAAAGCGCATCGAAATACGCGCTGTTGTTGTTAAGGACTTTTTGTGTGGTAAAGAATACAAAATTGCTTGACAACCAATACGCGCTCGTTTTGACGCGCTACTGTGATTTCACGAACTAACAAAATCTACTTTGATTGTGTTAGTTCGTGATGTGAGCGACGATTTATTTGAAGTTGGTTGGACAGTTTTTTTTTTTAAATCAGTGCTTCAGCTTTATTTTAATTTTTAAGTTTGTTTTTCATGGAACCATCTATAATTTTCATCACTTTTCTAAGGAGATAAATAAAACATCGCTAGTTAAGGGAAGGAGGGATCAACAATTTATGAAAATAACAAAACGATTATTTCAAAATATTTATCATTTTATTGTTCACATTTTTTCAGCGAAAGGCAGGAGGTGATAGGAAAAAATTCTTTTACTCTCTCGAAAATATTCTTAAACCAGACCTCTGCGAGGACCGATGTTCCTATACTGTCAGCCATTTTGGTAAAATATTACACTATTTGTAATGATGTATATAGAAATAAGGAAACAAACTAAACGGTTCCAGGACTTTTCTTTAAATGAGCTCAAAACATATATTTTTTAATTTCTTAATGTTTTAAGGACTTTTTAAAGCGATAGTCGTTGCATTTTTGGTACATTCCCTAGAATCCAATCATCATTGGTGAGAACAGGAAATTGGACATTCAATAATTCACTGTACCGTATAATGCTGAATTATTCGATGGAGAGGGGGTGGGGGGCGGTAATAAAGTTCCTGTGTATTGCTTTAATATTTATCCAATAATATTTTCAAGCAATGCGACGCAATTATATGAGCAACACTACATGTATGCAAAATTGCAAACATTCATCCAACAGGTGTTTGGAAATTCAAGTTTGATTGTTTACAATTTGAATTTGATACATCACAGCAGAATATTAATGTCTTGTTTGGAGACATTAGGCCTATAATTGATCATATTTGCAGTGCCTTATCTATACATGTATGCATCTTATTTTACAACTCATGTTGTGGTGTAACGATAGGGTCGGGGCCCAGTGGCATTCTGAGACAGCTTTTTTGGTCCCGGTCACCAATTCCATTGTGGGATTTTAGATTTTCTTTTTTTAATCATGTTTGTCATTGTATATTAATGTTTTTATCGACAAGTCAATGATATGGTATCAGTGGCGGATCCAGGAATTTGAAATAGAGTGGAGAGGGACTAATACACACTCATCCGGCGTTATGGTTGGGGCTGAAATAAGAACATTATGAATGTCGCATCTAGATGGCCCGAAATGGCACACACAGACTTAAATGTGTGGGGGTGGGGGGTCATGCAGACTGCTACAGCAGAGCTCATAGACGTAACGCCACTGCATGTTGTATATTATTTAAATTACAGTTCCATATATCTTTTGTGTATATTTGTGTTGTTTTATGGCATAATATAACTGAAAATACCTTACAAAAACACTGTTATTTCTTTGTCCCACAGCAGAAATTTATTAGTCTGTTGATCCAAAAACATTATTTTGTATAACATGTTTCAGAAAAAAGTAATCATTGCTCAAAATAAGACAACTGAAAAAATATCACAAAAACATAACATAACGATTTATTAGTTTTATTTAAAATAACATGAATCACATGTTGGTATAGGCATACCAATATTTTTGAATTGACCCAATATATTGCATTTGCAAGCCTGCCAAGCTATAGCGGCAGGTTTCATTGCTTGTTAATGCTACTAATTTTGCATAATAGATACCTAATTTTATAATCACACAAAACGCTGAACTGTAACGAAACGCCCCGGATAATTTAAGGTGGTACACTTCACACCATGATCAATAAAAGTCTAAATAAAAACATTGATGCAAAATACTGCATATGAAAAAAATATATACTCTTGTTCCTTTCAATTCAAACATTCTTAAAAAAAATCGTTTTAAACAATTATTTCAAAGAAATTAATGTAAACACTGAAGATACCACGAAATATAGGCCTATATAAAAATACCAAAAAAACCCAGAGATGATTTTATCTGCAAATATATAGATATAAATATATAATATACATTATATCGTAATACTGTTACATAATACGGTAAAGCATATACTAAACCAAACCCAATTTTGTGAATGTACAAATGTATAGTTGAATCGAAACAATCATCGTACTATTAAACTGAAGAAAAGTGAAGCTGCTAAAACCAATGCACACTAATTTTTATGATGTATATATATTATTATATTATGCTTTAATTAAAACACATTAGTCAGTAATACTGCATGGATTTTGAATATTAAACAAAAAGAGGAAACTGAAAGGGTAAAAACAAGTTGCGCCAACCGTGATTCAAACATGGGCAGTCTGCAGTCGAGGAAGATGAGTTAATTAATGAGGATTTGTTGAAAAGAATCCCATCCATATAGAAGCAACTGTTTTACCCACCCCTTTGCCCATACATGGAACAACCCTAATTCTCAATGCTAATAACAGAAAATGCTATGGTGCACTTTTACCTAAAGCATTTTAAAACGACAAGAAGAAATTACATATATATTGCATATAAAAATTAAGTTATTATTATTTATCTACTTGTATTCAGTA